ATAATAATAATAATAATAATAATAATAATAATAATAATAATAATAATGATCATCTTCATTCATCCATTCATTCATCAAAAAGCGCCTTTCAGGACACCGAAGGACACTTTACAGAATATAAAATGCATACAGAATATAAAATACATACAGTAAAGTTAAGGATAAGCGAGTCTAAAGAGATGTTTTCAAAGCAGTCTTGAATAGAGAAATAGAGGTGGTGTTTCATAAATCAGGGGGTAGAGAGTTCCAGAGATGAGGGGCAGAGCAGGTGAAGGCCCTGCTCTCCATGGTGGAGAGGCGGGCAGAGGGTACATGGAGATGTAGTGAAGAGGAGGATCTGAGAGAGCGAGAGGGGTTGGAGATGTGTAGGAGGTCAGATGGGTACGGAGGGATAAGGTTGTGGATAGCTTTGAAAGTGAGAAGAATGTTTTCAAAAAATGTTCAATACAAAAACAACTGGACTTTATTTGTAACAGAAGACGTTTCGCGCCTCATCCGAGGAGCTTTCTCAATTCAAAGAGCAGTGAGTAAGGGATTCAGGTTATAAGGCTGAGTGAGATAAGACACACACACACATGTAGATTGGCAGTTCACACCTAAACAACTTCACAGTAGGTCTTTGTTCATCTAATTCACAGTCGAGGCCCCTCTGTTCCCATCAGGTGTGAAAACCGGCTGGGAATCTGTTTTAAAGTTGCATTATATGTTTTTGAAAGTGGAAATCTGAGGCCTCCTCCTCTGTTAAGAGACGGCTTTTCTCTTTTTACATAAATTGCTTCCTTCACCCCCCTCTCAAACCATCTGTGTTCTCGGTCCAAAATGTGCACATTTTGGTCCTCAAAAGAGTGTCCCTTATCTGTGAGGTGGAGGTGAACTGCTGAATCTTGTCCAGAGGAAGTAGCTCTCCTGTGTTGAGCCATGTGTTTGTGAAGAGGCTGTTTAGTTTCTCCAATGTAGAGGTCTGGACAGTCCTCTGCACTGGACCGCATACACTACACCACTCTGTTTGTGTATGGGTGTTTTGTCCTTAGGATGGACCAGCCTGGGTTTGAAATGTACTGGGATCTTGTGTTTGTTAAAAATCCTTCTGAATTTCTCTGATACTCCAGCAACATAAGGGATGACAATGTTTTTACGTATGCTGTTGTCCTTTTTCTGTTTATTAGTGTGTTTTGTAGATTTTCTCGCTGACTTGACAAAAGCCCAGTTAGGATATCCACATGTTTGAAGTGCTTCTTGAATGTGAAGATGGAAGATTGTGAAGAAGAATGTTATATTCCTCTCCTCTCTTCAGTCCACTGTCATATTTCTTCTTGGCTAATCTCTTTCTTTGAATGGCATCCTGCACTTCACTATTTCACCTCCAGGTTTCCTTATCATCCATTCTCTGTCCAGATGACACACCAAGTACTTTCTTACATGTCTCTCTAATTACTGTTGCTGTAGTAGCCCAGTCATCTGGAAGCTCTTTATCACCCAGAGCCTTTAACAGCTCCTCTGAATTTCTCACAACACTCTTCCTTCTTCAGCTTCCACCATTTGGTCTTCTTTGATCTTGCTCTTTTTCTCTTCTTCACAACAACAGTCATTCTACACACAACTGTCTGATGCTGTCGGGCCACCCTCTCCCCTGCCACAACCTTACAGTCCCCAATCTCCCTCAGGTTTCCTCTTCTACACAGAATGTAGTCGACCTGCATACTCCTTCCTCCACTCTTATAAGTCACTTTATGTTCCTCCCTCTTTTGGAAATAAGTGTTGACTACAGCCATTTCCATTCTCTTGGTAAAACTAACCACCATCTGTCCTTTCTGGTTTCTTTCCTTGACACCAAACCTACCCATCACTTCCTCATCCCCTCTTGTTTCCTTCACCAACATGTCCATTCAGGTCTGCTCCAATAACCACTCTCTCCTCCCTGGGAATACTCTCTATCACTTCACCCAGATCTTTCCAAAATGTATCTTTCTCCTCCACATCACATCCAACCTGTGGAGCATAACCACTGACGATGTTTAGCATCAGACCTTCTACTTCTACCTTCAGGCACATCATCTTATCTAACACTCTCTTCACCTCTACTACATTCTTCACCAACTCCTCCTTCAGGACCACCCCTACTACATTCCTCTTTCTATCCATACCATGGTAAAACAGTTAAACCCTGCTCCAATGCTGTGAGCCTTGCTGTCCTTCATTTGGCCTTTTGGACACAAACATCTACCTTCCTTCTCTGCATCATGTCAGTCTGCTCTCTACCTTTATCTATCATTGTCCCCACATTTAGATTTGCCACCCTCACTCCTACATTCTTCACTTTCCTCTTCTCCCTCTTGTCTCCTGACACGTTTCCTCCTCGTGGTCTTCGACTAAAGGCTCCAGTATACTGCCACGTATGTACGTGTGAACGGACGTACGCGTGTACTGTACGCAGAGGGTTCAGACTTCATACTCCAGCGTACACCCCGAGCAGCTGCAGAGCAGCTTCACAGACAAGGGCCTTTACCTTCGGGACAAATTGAGGTCGCCGATTGGTCATTTGCTGACACGCCTATTGGATTGATTGACAGGTCGGAAAAAAGAAAAAAGCGAGCGCTGGCAGCCTCAGCGGTGTTCTGTGTTTATACGTTGTTAATAAAAAGATCTAAAAAAAAAAAAAACCAGAGCGCTGGCTCTACAGCCCACACATCAGACCAGCCCACCAGGATATCTCCAGACCCTCCCGCAGCCACGCTGGACCTGAGTTTAATTTGCTTGTGACAAATTCCTTCATTTCTCACCATTTCAGTCATGGCATCAACAGAGGAGGAAGAGATCACTGCCTCTTGGCAATAAAACAAAAGAAAAAGCCAGATCAGGGATGAAGAAGGGGAATTTAATACATTGGTGTCACATACAAAACAGTCCGTTGCCACTGAATGTCAGTAACTTTAAAATTTGAACAAAAAGCAGCTTTTCTTTGTTACACCCATTAAAGCGCTACCCCCCCCCCCCCCCCCCAATGCCTCCAGGTGATAAACAACAATGGCAGCGCAGAGTTTGTGATCTCCACCAACCACACCTTCACCGTGAGCCCGGAGTTCATCGGCTCCAGGCTGCTGCTGAAAATGAAGAAGATGGCTGAGCGTCAGCTGGGCGTGCTCATCCAGAAGGCGGTCATCTCAGTGCCGGCAGAGTTTGACGAGAGGCAGAGGAACTACACCGTCAGAGCCGCTAACCTCGCAGGTCTGACAGCTTCCTTCAAACCAAGAGTTAAACTAAAAAAAATCACATACTCACAACAGCACACTGACTCTCTGGTTCTGGTCTTGCAGGTTTGGAGATCCTGCGAGTGATCAATGAGCCCACGGCTGCAGCCATGGCCTACGGCCTGCACAAGGTGGACGTGTTCAACGTGCTGGTTGTGGACCTTGGGGGAGGGACGCTGGACGTGTCTCTGCTCAACAAACAGGGGGGCATGTTCCTCACTAGGGCAATGGCAGGTAAAAGAAGTCCTTCATGTATCCTGATGCATGCTCAATAATCCAGGAAGAAAAATTAAAAAAAGTTAAATCTGGTCCTCTGGACATTCAAAAAACAAAACGAAGCAAATCAACAAAAAATGTAGAAACGTTTCGTCTCTCATCCGAGAGACTTCCTCAGTCGATCCTCAGTCCAGATCAACTGGTTGATCCACTGGTTGATCCACTCTGAGACGGTGCTATTTAAGAGACTGAGCTGAGTACAGCTCCTCAGACTGAGGAAGTCTCTCGGATGAGAGACGAAACGT